TACCAGATAAACAATCCAGACAGTATGTGATATTCTTAGATCTATAGCTTGGTAGGTATGTACCTGGTGGACAGGGTTCCTCACGACTACTGCCCTCAACGCAGTAAAACCCAGGACTACACTGATTACCTGAAGGTCAAAGTTCAAAAATTAAATATCTCACCATAACAAATAAGAGAGCTATATTGCCTTTATAAAAAGCACACTTCAATCCAATCATATGTAATTATGATAAAAATAATAATAATAATCTTCATTGCATAATCTTATCCTTATTTGGATATTGACTCAGAAAAAGAAAATTACAATAAAGATGAAAAAACTGAAGAAGTAGCAAAATGGAAGCGCTAAAATAGAAAATATAAAAAACGAAAAGAAATACCGGTAGTTTACTTATGTATGTAGATCATGTGACCAGGGCATTGTCGTAAATCATGTGACCAGAGCATGTATGTAGATCATGTGACCAGAGCATTACAATAAGGATGAACTGAGAAAGTGGAATTGAGAACTGAGAATGTATGTAAATGTTTTGGGATCAACACTTAACATTTTAATGATGGCAATTCAATGGTAGGTTCTATATTCAGCACAATATGCTCACTCTTTTCAGAAATTGTTACTATTTGTGTTGTTGTCTTAAGATATAAATTTTGTTCTTTTACTCAATTTGTCATGTATATGGTAACACTTAAAAACACATGAAATACTATGTTTAGAAATCAAATATCATAGTGTTGAGTCTTAAAATAACTCCTCTAAACCATCCATTGATATTTACCTGCAACTCCACTCGGTGTTGGTGTTATGGAACCATTTGTACAGTAATATCCAGCATAACAATCACCTCTGGGTTCAGCCATACCATTCACATCACAATACATACCAGGGTCACATGACTGTGGTTCTGATGATCCAATTGGACAATATTGACCTAGTAAGAATGAACAGACAATATTATTGTCATTAACAGATTTAATTTTGTGTCAGACAGTTTTTTACTAATCTTATAAGCCATGGCAATGAAAGTCATAAAATTTTGTAGCATTGAAAAATTTACACAATATTGTCTTTGATATTAAATACTGTGAAATTCTTTATTTTCGCTTGGAATTAATTTTCGCTATTTTTGCTGAAGGTATGATTCAGTGAAAATAAATTCCATACAAAACACTCGAAAAGTCTTTTCAGCGAAAATTAATTCCAGCTGAAATGAAGTATTTCACAGTAATTAAATCTAAAAAATTCCAAGCAACAAAAAGTTGAGTCAGCATAATGTGGCCTAAGGTAATCAAATAACCAATCCAAATGCTCTATTGAAACTGTCAACAAGACTAATTTGCATAACCCGTTTAATCTCATGATGCACTTAAATTCAACTCTTGTGTCACAGATTTTTTGTTCACTTTCTACATTTTTTGCATTTCTGACCAAATAAAGA